TTCCATTCTCAGGTCTCAGAAAACCGTTAATATTTTGCTGCTAAAGTTATTTGTGATAATTGGAAACTGTTTGTGATGACTACATATTACGAAAGTCACTGTGATTTCCTGTCTTCCCCCCTCGTAACAATTGAGTCAACTTTGGCCACCATTCGCAAATAAACAAAACACTGACATAATTTTTTTAAATATTTCTCCCAAATTTTGATCAAGATCAGTGGGCAGTCTAAAAATATCAAACAAAATAATGACACCAAAATTTGGGCCAAAAAATTTATGATGGTCGAAGGTTTCCCTAATTCGCCAAAATTTGTCAGAAGTGATTTACAGTATAATAGTGAAGCACCGCCATCAAGAGGATAAACATGTCTACACATCTTTTTAAAAAATAAATAAAAAGGATTGTGGTTTTTCTTTCAAAATTAACAATTAAGCTATTCCAAATACATTATTTAGATGACTTATTGAAACAGTAATTTTGATTGGTCTATTGAAGGCAATGCATGTTAAATTTGCATATAATATGCATGTAAACACTATTTTACACACATTGCATACAATGCTCAAGACATATGGGGAACACAGAAGGGGAGGGGGGGGGTCAAACCAACCATCACCCTCTTAAAAAAATGAGCATTTATAAAACGAAAGTTATGCCAAACTGCCTTAGGCTAAAACACCTGTGACTGAAATGTCCATCCTCCGTCCCTAATAAATTTACATAATTATTCATCATGTTATTTGCAAATGCGCAAAAGCTCAACTTTGAACAAAGTGTAAAGAACACAAACACATTAGGTGTTGACACTTAGTGTGTTATGTTTGCTTGGTGTAGTACACACTACAACAGTGAAGCCATCCTTCTTGTTTATTGTACCCAACGATGCATGGACAGTCACTCAATATTAAACATGGATGAAGGCAAAATTGAGATGATTATTTCATGATACCAGGTCATATATCTGACTGTAAGTATTTCACTCCATATTGGGCCGTGCACGTACTACTAGGTAATATGCATCTTTACATGCAGTAAAACGCTTACTGTAAAATACTTTATTTTAGCTGGATTTAATTTTCGCTGAAAAGACTTTTGTGTGTTTTTCATGGAATTTAATTTCACTGATTTTTGACGAGTTGAATGTAAAATATAGGAAAACAGGTATATTTGCTGGATTTTATTTTCACTGAACCACTCCTTCAGCGAAAATAGCGAAAATAAAGCATTCTACAGTAATTTTCTCTGCTGGGAGTTTTCACGATTTGATGATTTCATGGCATTCGTGAAGACAAACATTTTTTTTACTTTTTTATGCGCAAATTATATCCTTTATGCTTGACCTTCAAAAGATCACACATCCTGATCCTTTCTGGGAATGCAAATTCACTATCAGTGCTAATCTATTAATTATAACCTGGTGAGATCACTGCAGGATGTGTGGCCTATATGGGTTATGCATGTTGTAAATCACACAGACCACATGTACCGTACTACAAAGACAGTCACTAGTAAAGTATATTTTGACACAGAAGCCATTTTCAATATTTGAGACTACAGGACTGGGGCTCCATTACTGGCTGAGTTTCAATCATCAGTTTTGAATTCTTGGACTCCATTTCAGATTGTGATATGTCAGTCACATGTTGGCTGCTTTCTTTTGTTGTTCAACCACAGGTAGGATTTAATATTGAGAATTCTTGATCCTGAAACATAAACTGATATTTATCGTTGATCGTTAGCTCAGCTTTTATGCTCAACCACTGATAGGATTTGAAATTGAGAAGTAAGCTTACATTCTCTTCACAGTCTTGGTTTCTGGACTTTTTCAATATAAATTAATCTCTTGTGAAAATTTTTTAAGGAGATAAGACGCACGTTTTTTTTTTACAAAATAGACTTTTCATATTAACATCATTTCTTGAACATGACTGAAACCAATTTTGTCAAAGTTGTATATATTTGTATTCCATCAATTATTTTTAAAATTTTTTTTAAAAACCAACATTTCATGAACCATTTGACAAATGCAGTTTATCCAAGCGAGAGCATTACTTAGGATTTTACTTTTGGACTGAAAAAAATAAATTGTTTTTTTTAAAAAATATATGGAAATGAATTATGCATGTTTATTTTGACTTTGACTTTGCCGTTCAAAAAGGTCAACAACAAAATCAAGCACTAGTGGCAAAATACAAGCAACTACAGAATGCATGCTTTCTTATTTGCATAATTGGTGTTTTTGACTTTCAATAACAATAAAAGTCAGTAAACAATGGTCAATGCTGTTATCTGATACCTTTTAGTTTGCTTGATAACTTCATCCTGTTTTTATTCTGGTCACAACTTCCTTCACCAGTTTACCTCGCAGTTAACAGTTTAGTCACTAGAAAGTAGGATTTATGCTAGCAGGACTGTGTTGAATGTTTATTTAACGTTTCAGTGACTACGTACATACAAACATCTTCTGACAACAGACATGGCAATATTTTCATACATTTACAATATGTAAATTCATTTAATTAATTTATTTGTGTTCACAAAATCTGACCGCATTCATTAACTCTGTCAAACATTGCTAGGTATCTCAACTAGGAATGTTATAATTGAGTTTTCTCAGATGAAAAAAACAACAATGTTTTAGTGATCCAAGTTCAGGTTTTATGAATATTCATTTCGTTATGTACAATGTATGCATAACTTTTTTTTCTCAAATATAGAAACAACAAATGGTGACCTTTGACTCTGTAAGCCGAAATGATAAAGAACTGCAAATAGTTTTTTTCGCTTTCCTCTAATGTGTGTACCTCCAAAGAATAGTTTTGTTGAAAATTTACTCTGAGTAAATTCTCCATTACTCCCTACGTTTCTGATGACCAGTCCCTTATAAAGTAAATTCAGTCATTTCCTTGAGACTATCGTTTAAGCTGCTCAAATAGTTTCACTGTGAGTTGTATACTCAATTTCTTGATTGACAATAGATACGTTAAGCTGAAGCAAGAATCCGCAATTGATACCAGACTAATCCACTAACAGCCTAAGGTACCCACTATACCCATACTGAAAAACAAATGTTTATTTGCTAAAATGTTTTCACACAAATTTTTTTAGATTTATTTTTTCCTTACTTGCTTGTATCATAATCACTAAAATATTGTTATTAGAAATAATGTTTTTTGGCAGTGCGATTTCACTTTGTTAACCTTTTAAAGCACCATAATTTTTCCCGCCAAAATTTTGTTGCAATTTTTCGCCTATTTTTATGTATTTTTCTATAAATTTTTTCATAATTTTGGACCAAATGGAAATAACTTCCCAGTGGCTTCTGGTCCTGATTAAAATTTTTGAAAAATAATAATAAAAAAATTATAAAATTTTATTTTTCGAAAGGTGACAAAATTCAACTCTGATGATCAGAGGGTTAAAAGTAGCGATGGGTGTGTTTGAATGTCAACAATGTATTTTACAGGCATTGTTTATACCACACGCAAACTGCATCCAACAAGGAGCATGGCAACTGCTTTTTGATTACCAGCAATATCGACACCACTGTAAAAAAGACTCTAAAACAAACAGCTACCCTGTATTCTCTCTAGTAGTGTCTGTGCTAATGGTCTCTCACAAAGACAGTCGCATGGATGCCCAGAATAACACAATAAAAATAAGTATTTATGAATTAGACCCACTGGCATCATCAATTTATCATCAACACTTACAGATTTCTATATTTGTCAACCCAGTCTGCAATGAAACAAGTATTGTACTATATCTACAGTGTTCGATGCATACATACGTGTATGAACACAATGGACATAAAACAAGCACACTGGTCGAGTATGCATAAATCTTGTATTTTTCATCAACATACCACCCTCCACTGCCAGTTTTTGTCATCACTGTCATAGCACACAGTAGGCTTAGTGTTTTGGTAAAGTCACTGAAGACAAGCAGAACAAAACATACTTGGTCGAGAAGGCCATTTATCGCTTTGGATGGCTGACAACTTATGCCAGCCTTGCTGCACTCAAAGATAACCTGATATTAATTCCTTTCACATTTTCAACTGATCTGAGACATTTCTTTTTTTTTTTTTTTTTGGAATGTGGTTTTAAAACCAAGTGTTAGTAAAATTCTATAATTCATGCCTAAAACAGACTACTTAACAATGATTACAAGACATTCAAAGGAATTGTATTTCAATGAATTGGAAATAAATAAAAAGTTTATGATATAGCGCCCTCTACAGTTATGAAACTCAAACCACCAAAAAAAAAAAAAGCAGTTCTAGAGCAGGTATGGTAGTGGTGACAATAAAATCACAGGGTGATAACATTGAATTCTGTAATTTTCTTTCCATCATCAAATGATTCCAATTCAACTCATTTAGCAGCTGTCTACAAAGCAGCTATTCACTAGAAATACAAACGACTTTAGATTCATTAGTTTAAACATCGCTAATTGCTGGAGTTGTGATTGCTCCTTTGAATTAGGATAAATTGGAATTGGAATTGATAGTCAAGCCATCTGTCTGTACAACGGATAACTGAATGGTAATTGTGTCAACATTTAAAACAAAAAAAATTTCATGACCAATATGATCAAAGCACCTCCCTCCCATACAAGCAGTCATCATTGAAAAGTTGAAAAACAGTTAAACATCACAAAAAATAATGCAAAATATTAAAAATTATTGCTATTATAAGGAAACAACACCCTCATTAAGTGCTAGAATCTTTAGGGGTTATGTAGGGGTCATAGATGGATATAAATACCAACAATTATTTTTTTTTTTTTTTTGCATTTTAAGTATACCATTACTCACACAGTGATTTTACGTTCAAAGTAAATTTGCGATTTTCTAAAATGTTCACTGCAGGCATATGACTTAATTCATACATACTTAAAGCACTTATAGTTTATTTTCATTTGCAATGCTTAATTACAATTTTTTGTTTCGTTTCAGGTCATTTGGACCAGTTCCTTGTAACAGACTCTTCCAATTATGGCCGCCAGCAACGGTACCAGCCCGGTGGTCAAACAGATTGATAAACAGTTTCTCAAATGTGGTATATGTTTAGAAAGATATCGGACACCTAAAGTTTTGCCTTGTTTACATACCTTTTGCCAGAAGTGCTTACAAAATTATATACCACCTCACAGTCTATCACTTTCGTGCCCTATATGCCGACAGACATCCATACTTCCAGAGGAAGGCGTATCCGGCCTTCAAAACAACTTCTTCATTACAAATCTTATGGAAGTTTTGGAAGGTCCCAAAACTAACGGTACACAAAGCGATTCCAAAGCTCTTCCTTGTCCAAGTCACGAGGGTGAAGTTTTAAAGTTTTACTGCGAATCTTGTGAGACTGCTGTCTGTCAACACTGCACTATTGCTGAACATAACGAACACTCCACTGTCCCTCTCAAAGACGCTGTTGAAGAACATAAGAAGGAATTAGAAGAATTACTCACAAAAGCTAAAGCTCGCATAGCCCCACTTACACATGCAATTGATCTTGTAAGTAACACGCGAGAGAAATTATCCGCGAAGAAAACAAATGCTGAGACCGATCTCGTGAAGTCCTTCGAGACGTTAGATAAGGTTATAACCACAAGAAAAGAGACTCTTCTTAATCAGTTGGAAACCTATCACAGCAGCAAACTAAAAGTACTTGAAGAACAAAAAAAGAAATTGGAACTGGGACTTTCAAATATTATTAACAGCTGCGAGTTCACAGAGCAAGCACTAACGCACGGCAACGAAACAGAAGTACTATTAGTAAAAAAACAAATGGCTGATAGATTAAGAGAGCTGTCAGCGATAAGTTTATCGTGTAAGCCAGAAGAGAATGACTTCATCAAGTTCACATGTGATCTAAGTAGTGTGGAAAAGTGCACAGTAAATACTGGTAGCGTGCAATCGAACAGTGCAGTGCCACATGAGAGTGTAGCTAGTGGCGAAGGTTTAAAGCGAGCTAAGATCGGGGAGCAAACTGTTGTGACAATTATCACAAAGGATAGTAAAGGAGAATTGGTGAAGACCGGACGGGCTCTCGTGACTGCACATATACAAAACCCTGATGGAAATCTGGCACTGTGTACAATTGCGGATAACAAGAACGGCACGTACGACATTGGATACTCTTTAGAATACGAAGGAGAGCATGCGCTGACTATCAAGTTATTCGAAGAACACATTAAAGGAAGTCCGTACAGAGTAAAAGGTATGAAGGAAATTGTCTCACCCACCAGACCTAGCAGTTCAAAGGTCACTAAAACCAATGTCAAACAGAAAGCTACAAAGCGGCCACCAAGTACGATATCCTCAAAATCAAGGTCCGCGAGGTCAAATCCCATTGAAGATGATTTGCTACTCCGTATCGGTATGAAAGGTCGTAACAAAGCGGAATTCATGAATCCCCAGTGCGTTGCCTGCAGTGCAACCGGTCGGCTTATTGTTACTGATAGTGGTAATAATAGCGTACAAGTCTTTGTCAACAACTGCGACTTTAAAATGAAGTTTGGCATTCGTGGACGCAATCCCGGCCAGCTTCAACGGCCAACAGGATGTGCTATAATGGCAAATGGTAACTACCTTATCGCCGACTATGACAACAAGATGGTAAGCATGTTCACTCCAGACGGGAAGTTTGCGAGCAAAATTGGTACCGGGCGGTTACAGGGTCCAAAAGGAGTGAGTGTGGATAGGAATGGTAATATCATCATCGTGGATAATAAAAACAGCCAGATTTTAATCTTCAACCCAAACGGTAAGCTGCTGAACCGGTTTGGGTCACGTGGTATGGACGAGTCTCAACTCTGCGGGCCGCACTTCACCGCTATCAATTCAAACAACGAAATCATAGTTTCAGACTTCCACAATCATTGCATTAAGGTATTTGATGCCGAAGGTCAGTTTATCATGAAGTTTGGTTCCAATGGCGAAGGTAATGGTCAATTCAATGCACCAACTGGAGTAGCAGTTGATTCCCTAGATAATATTATCGTAGCTGACTGGGGTAACAGCAGAATTCAGGTACAGTAGTGATTTAATCCACTTAACAAAGAATATAAACGCCATCATACATATTTCTTTGGAAACAATTAATGTAACAAGCTCTCTTGTTAAAATTGTGATAAATCACATGATTCAGTATATGTTACAATATGTTCATACAGATGCTCATTTGTTTAATGTACTTCTTTATACATTGATGCACTTTTGTTTATGTACTGTGTCCAATTGATACCTATTATTTTTGGAATCTCTGAGCATCAAAACAGTATGCAATACATGCAACTGTTAAATTTTATCCCTTTCTATTGGAGTTGCGCTTATAATAGAACATTGGTATTACATATTTGAAAATATCTGCTAGCATGGGGGAATATCTCTACCCATATTTTGGAAAATATTACTGAAGAAATGACTGGTATAACACCTTTAACAATAGAACGTAATCAATTTAACAAAGTGTTAAATTATGTTAATAGCAATACATAACCTGAAGTATTGTGGTTCAATATTGTGCATATTAATTAGCTAATCTGAATATTCATAAACTGATTTCAGAGTGCTAAACCTGTATCTGGAGAACACTGTATTTGCTATTGTACATATGTTATCTAGGAGTATATGAAACAGAGATTAGATTGTAGAATAGAGTTATGCATGAGTGAAAATATGACTCTTTATTTTGATAAATTTTTTCAACCTAATGTTTGAAGAAAATTGCCAAATTGTTGGTAACGTTATTCAGCAGTGAATTCTAGAAGATGATTCACAAACAAATCTATGTGTAAATTTTTAACATACCAAAGAATGTTATATTGATGCTGTAAATTTGATCGATTATCAGGTTTTCTGAAATTAGGTTCTGACACTGTTTTAGTAGTCTTAGATCGAAAGTAAATCATATTTCATCTTCACAAAATATTTACTATGCTGTCTGTATTATATTTCTGATTGTTACTTCGCAGGTGTTTGACAGTAACGGATCATTCCTCTCGTACATCAACACCAATGCCGACCCCTTGTACGGTCCCCAAGGCCTCGCAATAACCAGCGACGGAAATATCGCTGTAGCCGATTCTGGAAACTATTGCGTTAAGATCTACAAGTACTTGCAGTAGGAGATACCGATGCGTCAGTCGCCCCCTGTGAGAGGCAGAGGACTACTCTACCCATGTCCCCTTTTCACTGGATGGAGATATTAGATGACAGGCATGGACCATTTGTCTATAGAGGGATGTGAAGCTCCTAAACTTGAACTTGACAGGGATCCACAGATTTCTAATTGCCAAATGTGATGTATATTTCTGTCGATATCGTAATTAACATTTTGAGCGCCAATGTAAACTTTTGTAACCATCACAAATTAAAATATGCATAATTTTTTTTCATATTTTTTCAAAATTTTGATCAAAACCTGTTGCCAGTAGGAAATTACGTCTATCTGGTTCAAAATTATCGAAAAAAGACCTTAAAAATAGACAAAATTATTTTATGGGGAAAAAATTTTGGCGTTCAAAGAGTTTACGTGTTATATATTTTCATTCTGAAGCATCATTATTAATTGGCATCATTTTAGAGCTGAGTGCGAAAACAAATCAATGATTTAAATTTTCTGGACTCATCAGTTTTACCTTCCCTTCAAATCAAATGGTTCATTCCTGTTTAAATCACCACTTAATATTTACATCAACTTATACCTCAAAACTAACCTATCCACCACCTTGATAAAATTGTCATCTAGACAAAACTATTTAATAGCAGGGGTGTTTAAGGTTATGTAATTGTAATGGTGATGGTATTTGGATAAAACCTGCCTTAATAGTAACTCTGCCTACCACATATAGAGGGGGATTGATTGACACTCTGCAAGGGACACATTAAGAACAGTTTTGATACCATCTATCCATTCACTACTTACTAACAAAATGCATGCTAAGAATTAACATTCCCTGTTATTCATACATCATATTTCACATATAATATTTCCCATAGCTTGGCTAGTTGTATTTTTTTCCAATTTTGCCATAATTTTTAATCCATGCATTTCTGAGCTAAAATGACCATCGAGGTATCAAATGAAACACATGTATGTCATGTGAACTTACATATTACAGTGTGTCTACTCATTTGATGCGTCAAAGTTCATTTTGTCTGAATTTCACATAAATATAAAAACTATGCCTCAAACTACAGCATATGATGCTTTAAGTTACCCAGCCTCACGATTTAAAGATGTATGAAAAACAGGGCCGCCAATCAGCCGCTTCACCACTCTCCATCTTGCGTGTGTCCTCATTTCTCGATAAATTACATCAGTAGTTCACATTCATGACTGCGATGAGGTTTTCTGCTTTTAATTTATTTTGCCGTTTCATTTTTACTTCTAATGCACATCTCTATCTTGGTGGTTGTAGGTGGAGGATTGAGGTTTGGAATGTTTAACATAAATTTCAATTAAAAAAAAAAAAAATTCTAGAAATAATTCTGAAATTTTGATTTGCGTTGAGAAGATTACAATGCATGTGAGAAAGGTAATTTTTTGCAAAAACATGATTGTATAATACTTCTGGTGTTTTTAAAGATCTATTAAAATGACTCAAAGCTCTGAAGTGCATGCAGTTTAAATTACATAGCACCAAACTTCTTATTTTATTAATTGTCTTGACAAATTAACTATTTTTTTTTACTTATTTAATTTTTTTTGCACTTTTTTTTTTTTTTTATTTTACTTTGCGGTCACCAGCAATGTAAGCTTCTGATTGTAATAATAATAATAATATGCATGATGAAATGAATATACACAGAGAATAAGGATGATAAGTTGATACTGGCTGGTACTAATGGCTGACATACTGGTAAGATTTCACGAGTGGATAGTCAGTACCACTCTGTTCTTAATGTACTCTTGGCAGTATCTGAATACTGTAGGGTACTTGTGTTTCCTATAACTACCGTAAATTGATGATATGTCACCCAACAACTGATGATCTATAACACAACTAATGATGACATAGTTTGCAACTAATAGAGTGATGAGCAACACGATTAATAACCACACATGCTGATGTGTAATGGCACTGAATGATATTACTGATGATATACAAATACTAATGATGTACTACACAACTATTGATGATGTACTACACAACTAGTGATGATGTACTACACAACTAGTGATGATGCACTACAGAACCAGCGATGATGTACTACACAACTAGTGATGATGCACTACAGAACCAGTGATAATGTACTACACAACTAGTGATGATCTTCTACACAACTGGTGATGATGTACTACACAACTAGTGATGATGTACTACACAACTAGCGATTAATCACTAACTGAACACTACTAATAGTATGGCACTCCTTCCTGTCTGTCATCAATTCATAATTTCCCAGTTTATTTTTCAACTTTATTCCCCAGAGTTAAGTACAATAAATTGAACGGTTCTCAAGTCATTTGAAAAAAAGATGTTATTCACAACTATTCAAACGAAACAAAAGCTAAAACAGTTGTATCTTTAGTTAAAAAGTGAAAACCACCAAATGTTACCTAAAGAGGGCGCTGTTATGCAAACTGAAATAACCAGTGACTGCAAGAAAGACAAAATCTTGTTCCACAACAGGTTGTGAATGAGTGAATAGAAAATAGAAACTTGTAAAACAGATTATACATTAGTTGTGTGTGTGTGTAGCTCTTTTTAGTACTTGTAATCTTTGCATGGTTTTTTTCTCTTGATCTTTTGAGTAGTGTAATTTGTAGTACTCGTGCTGAGTGTACTTTCTAACTAAATTTCTTGTCTTTCATCGTTATGTAAACTTCAATTCAAACTTAAATTACAATGACCAGCAACTGGAAAGAAATGTCTGTTTCAGTAACATTAATCTGGAAATTGTGGATTAAGTTAATTATACATTGATCAATATCTGATCCACACCCTCCTTACTCACCTAGCATATCATGTGAATTAAAAATGTTGCATGTCTTGATCTGAATGAGATCTATCTGTGTTGTCATAGTAACAAATGTGTTAAGACATATTCCTGAGAGGTGTTCAAGTTGTTATGTATGCATAAACAAAATGTTCGATTTGATGTTCAATTAATGTTAAATCATTCTTGTTATTACATCATTGTCGATTTGGTCACGAGATTCTATTTAAATAAAGTGTTTACTACAAGGTCACCAAAGGTCAAGCAATTCAATTTTGAGATGTCTATTTAGGTTTTTTCTGGTATTTTGCAAAAGAATGCCACTGACAGGGTTTGATTAAATTTCAAAAAGATATTTTAAAATTGTTTCAGGTGAACAAACATTTTTATTAAATGCAACACAAAGAATTATAAAATATTTTGTTTAAAGATTTAGTATTGAACACTATCCGGATGAATTTTGTGTTTTTGAGGGAAGGACAGAAGGAAGCCATTTTTCTTTCATGCAAATGATTCTGGGATGTAGCATCATCATTCAATTGAAACAAAAGAAGATCCTTGGTTCAGTTTATACTACACTGGACACATCTGTAATTCATTCTGCAATATGTCTGATACAATTATATGCTAATTAATTCACCTTTTTTTAAATATTTTTCTATATTATTTTCTAATACATGACTTAATACGTACACTTTCTGCATGACTGTATTTGTTGACCAATCTTATTTTTGTACAGTATAAATATTTATTGGTGCAATTTTTTTTATATTTATTTGCATTTTGGGTTGTTTCTCTGGTCTTTTTAACAACAAAAGCCAGTGATTTATCTTAGTACTGTTGAGCTAAAATGCAATTCTGAAATCAGCTTCTCATGTTAATATTTGTTCTGCATCAAGTATACCTATAATAAATATACAATTATTATATTATTGGTAGTCTCTGTGAATGTCCAAAATATGCTAAAGTTACAAATAGACCACAGACGATTCCAGGATACTCCCCAGAATTTTCAAAAAATGTTTTGTTCAGAGTCCTGTCTGAAGTATCTGTGTTTTGTTCACAGATAGATAGAGTACTCCCACACTGCCGTTATCGTTAATTAAGGGACTGTTTTGGGGCCAAGTTGATAAGAGTCTGAAGTGTATCGCGCCATGGACCTTTACCAGACCAAGGTCCCGAAACAGTTTGTTACTGTGGAATACTTTATTTTCGCTTAGAAATAATTTTCGCTGAAAGAATGATTAAGCGAAAATAAAATCCAGCGAATATTTTTTTCTTCTATATTTTACATTAAACTTGTCAAAAATCAGTGAAAATAAATTCTATACAAAACACCAAAAAAACATAACATAGCTAACATAAAGTTTTTACAGTAATTAACAATAATGGCAGAGTGGGAGTAGTCTAATGAAGTTATACTGCAATATTGATGAGTTTTGGGGGTTTTTTTGGTTGCAGCCCCATCGGGGATGAGTCACAGTATACATGTGTCACTGTGTTACGTAAATCCTTTTGTATAGAAGGACAATGCATCAATGACTTGTAGATATCACAACTGATACAAACATGTATTAGGTACATGTTGCATTTCATCAAAAATTACCTCCTTAGTGCATTGGGTAGAGTGACCATGCATCCACGTCTGGAAATCATTGAGTTGAATCCAGTGCAGTGTTGCTGACAAAAAAATATTGACTATGCCTAAATGCAACAAAGAAACAGTCCTAATAAATAAATAGGCATTGTTTAGAACAAAAAAAAAGTACTTTCCTTGTAAAATGCTAAAAAAAATATTACTCTACTACTAGTATTAAATGTAGAAAATGAGTCTTAATGAAAACTGCCCTCTATTGAAAGTAAGCATATCACACTTAGAACAATGGACACAGGGCAAAGAGTGGTATAATTCTATAAGGCTGTATGTGGCCGGAATTTCAAAAAATCCCTCCCTTTGAATTTTTTTTTTTTGTTGACCAATTTTCAAATCGAAATAGCCCCCCAGATTAGGGCTTTGAGAAATCATATGTTGATTTCCATGGAAACAGGTTCTGGTACTTAATTTTTTTTTATTTACCCTTTCTCGTTTAATGGAACTTTTTTAGCAAGCCTCTTCAATTCTCAAAATATATAATTAAATCACATTGTACTTCTCCACTTTCCAAAATGAGAAGCCCAGAAACCAAACACATCATTTGATGGCCACAATGAATCCTATTCAGTAATATAGTACAATCAGAAACTGACATGTATTATTCAGTTGTAAGTATGTGGAATATTTTGTTGGTTTTTTTGC